CACACACCCAACCAGTCTGTATGAGTGACAACAGCAAGCAAAGCAAATGGCAGAGCCACCATGCTACCTGTCTCCCCCCACCCTGCAATTCAGCTGTCTGTGAAAATAATCAGCCAGTGACTGAGCACAATTTGGCATCCCCGCCTCTCAGCAGCAGCAGCACCCACCCTGTGACCACCACAAGTTAGCGCTGCCCTCTTATACCCCCCGCACTCCTGCCCCCCCCCCAGCCCTTGTGAACACACTTCTCTTCAACCCAGAGGAATTCATTTTCTAATTTTCCTTGACTGAGAAAACAATACACATGCCTTAACAATGTTGACATCTCTAATGCCTTAAAAAGCAGTAGTAATGGAGCTTTGATTGGTAGTAAGTGGATACATGCACATTGCAAACACACACACACACAGGGTTTAACTCCTTCTCTGTGTAAGGAACATTGTGGACAGCACCGGCATGCTGGAGGTAAAATAGGCAAATAAAGAAAGCTATGTGTTTCCAAAAACTTACAGTAGGTGAAGCAGAGTATGAGCATTTTTACACAAAAAACAAACAAACAAACAAACAAATACCATTAAAAACACACACTTCTTTGTATCCTTTGCCTTGTGAGTTGTCTGTGGTTGAACAGTAACTACGATGCAACACATTTAAACTTTATGTGTGATTTATTTGTATTGCAATAAAGGGTCAGGATGAACTGATGAGAATAACTCATGATACATATTATTATCAAAGTCAGTTTGAATAAAGAATATTTTTTTCTTATGACACCAACTTTTATGCAGTTGTTATTTTGACCCTTGTTAAATGGTTTAAAAAACAGAGGGAAGGCGACTTAAACACTGTGCAGCAAATTTAAATATAATTAATGCCATATTACAATAGTCTTTATGTTTAAAGGCACTGAATATGCTCAATATGGATCTATCTATCTATCTATCTATCTATCTATCTATCTATCTATCTATCTATCTATCTATCTATCTATCTATCTATCT